GGTAATAAAAAAGTTGAGATAATTGAATAATCTACCCTACTTATTGGATTGCTAGACCATTGATGAGATTTTGTGAAAATAATAGTCATGTATTATATATGTAAGTATATGGGTGTGTGGGTTGATTTTAGAAACATGTGTGAAGTGGGCAAAATAGTTTTGAAAAAAAACTTTGTTCATATGCCTTTATGTATTCATGTATATAAATTTTTGAACTCAATTTATGATAAGGTGATATGAGCATGATAATTGTGATGTGATAATGGAATATATGTAATGCATGATTGGGAATATATGAAGGTGGGAGGTTCACCCTGGGTGTAGAATAGTGCAAAATCATACGATACATATTGACATCATGAGTAGCCCTAGTGTTTAGTCATATATCTATTTGGAAGTTATAGCTCATTGTATGTGTGGGGTGGTTAGACATGTAACACCCCATTATTCAAAAGGAGAAATCGGTGGTTCAAAAGTGGAATATAGCCTTAGCTGGCTTGCCTTCTCTATTCAGTAAGCTTGAGTTAGTCTAGTTACATAAACTTGGCCTAGTTGTGTGTTTAGCACATAGATTCAATTGTTAACATTGAGGAGGTTTGAATGGACTTGAGATCATGCATGTGTGAATTGTGATATTTGTGTACATTGATATATGCCTTGATTGTGTTACTATATGTGCTCCCATTTTACATACTTGTTTATGTTTTAGCTTGCTAATAAATAGTATAGCTTATTAGTTACTGGGACTCTATCTCACTCCTTGGTTGCTATTTTACAGGTTAAGACACACATAGGAGTAAAGGGAAAGAGTAGGACAAAAGTAGACTTGCCTATATTGTTTATGCCCATTGACTTTTATTATATGTATTAATGAAATATATATATATATATATATATGTATGTATGTATGTTGTGTATTGTCAACTAGGGACATGTCATTATTTTGTGTGTACTTGCATGATTTTGGTATTTGAGATAGTAAATTGGCTGGGAATTGTATGTTTCATCATGCAAAATAGGAGGGTGAAGCCAAATTAGCGTGCAAGTGCATGTTTATTATTATTAAGCATGTGGAATGGCCTAATGTTGATTTTGTATGGCCAACTATTATTTTGTGATAATGCTTCTCTTTAAGTTGAAAACAAGGTTGTTGTGTCCATTCTATGCTTGGATTGTTGTATTGATTGTAATAATTGTTAATTAGACACTTATCGATCCATTGAACTTGATTTAAACTTCATGAAAGCTAAGGGCATTTGGTTTAAATTAAGGCACTTAGATGTTTGTAGATTTTTGAAAAAGGGTTATTTTGTATTTAGGTGTCCAATTTTTAAACATGTTATCTTTTAGGATGAAACTAGTGCTATTAGCTAAATAACTGAATAAACTTCATGTGAGTATTTAAATCACTCCAATTGAATGTCGAACAGCGAAACGAGTTATGTTGGAAGTTAGGCTTTCAGCGCTGTCACGTACTTATATACCATGTTTGGTACAAACCATGTGTTCAGAAGCATGAAATTGTTCAGACATGTTTTATTATTTGGATATACTTGAAATATGCATGACTTGTTGATTTTTGAACTATTATTGTTGGGGATTTTATTTGAAAATGTTCTACTATGTTGTATGCCCTCATTAGAACAAATGAATGGCTGGGTTTGTTGGTTTTAGACACAGTGCTTGGAGGGATATAAAGTGTGATCATGTATTTTGTTTGGATTGTTTGGATTTTGTGTTTAAAAATATGTTTTAATATGTATACTTATCAATGCATGGTAAATTGCATCATATGCATCATTGCATATTAATTTTAGTTATTAAGACATCTATGCTTACTCTCCTTGGTTAACATTTTTTTTAGAAAAGGATTCAGCTAAAGAAGCATTGGAGATGTGTATGAGTAGACACCATAAGGCTTTGTCAGCTTTTTGTTTGATTAATTTATGTATAATTGCCAACCTTAAGGCATTTGTTTTATAAATGAACATGTAACTTTTATATTTTTAATTAGCTTCTTATGTAATTGCCATACAACAGTTTTTGATGACATTCATAGCTTTTGATATACTTAAGTGCTTCTATAGGTATTTTTGAATATAAAGATTTTCTTTTGACATATGTTATGAATTTGAAGCCATTCAACAAAAAAATACGTCATTACAAACAAGGACCATTATCTATTAGTTATAATTAATATTCTTACAAAGTACTCCCTCTATTTTTATTTATAAGAGAAAAAATATATCACACATTTTAAGAAAATTGACTGACTCTATTAATTGTGTTTGAAAATAAAAGAATTAAACTATAGTACTTTTTATTAATTGTTTTTTATGACTATGAATGATAAAATTATGAGGGATAATTTAAAAAGTTTATAGTAAATATTTATTAAAAAAAGTAATTTTATTTATATAAAAAAAGAAAAAAATAATATTTTTTTTATAAATAAAACTGGAGAGAGTACCTGTCATTTTTCCAAATAAGCTTAATTAAACGCTCGGCCTAAAAAGAAAGTCACGGCCAAGATATTTTAAGTCGCAATCATCATCCGTGGCAAAGAAAGTCACTTTGTTGGAATTCTCTTTGTTCATCGTGCATAATTATCACATGTATTTAATATTTTATTCGTCGAACTTGGGGGTAATGCATAAATTCTCCGTTCATTGAACAATCAACGAAAATGCATCTCACTCCTTGTCATTCGTTCATTGAACAAACTAATGAACACACGTTTCACAGTTTGTCTTCTATATTTATACATAAATACCTACTGAAATTGTCATCAGAAAAAAGGAAACATCTATTAAAATGGTTCATTAGGAGGAAGGGAAATGCTTTCACCTTTTATCCATAAATGTATTTACATGAAAAAAACTCTTATTAGACAATGACCGACACAAAATTCAAAGTAATAAATTATTTAACCCCGTCGCCAATTTATAGGTCCTCATCAGTCATAAGTTAGGCCCTTTATGCAAAATAGTGTCAATGGAATGAATAGTGATAAATTAATATATTTTTGATTTCAAACCTCACACATGTTTCCCAATGCTTCATAAGAAAAAAAAAAAGGAAATGTTTGGCAAAAAACAGTCTAGAAAATGAAAATTATTATTGGCAGCTTCTTTTTTGAGCAAATATTATTGACAACTTCTAAATATTCTAAACTTAACATGTTTTATATTTTTGATTTCAAACCTTACACATGTTTCCCAGTGCTTCATATAAAAAAAAAAAAAAGAGGAAATGTTTGGCAGAAAAAAGTCTAGTTAGGAAATCGTTATATGAGAAGCTAATAGCTCACGAGTCAGATAAGAATTGATGAATATAGTTTACTCGGGGTTGTATGCTTTGTTTAATCGTGCCAGTTTTTTAAAATATATTTATTTTATTGGTAATTGTAATTCATCACGTTAATGAATCTTATTTATAAATTATTAAATTTGATTTATTCATCAGATAAGGGATTTTCACGTAAGCTTGTTAAACTCATGAATTCAAATAAATTTATAATAAAAATGTAAACTTAAAACATAAACTTGGATTGTAAATTTTTATGAATTCATTTCTATTAATAAATAATTTTTAAAAGCATATGATTAAATAATTTAAATGTTGAATATGACTACAACTTAATTTAAATATATTTTAAATATAAATTATTAAAATTAAACACATCTACATTTATATATTGTAATGTTCAACATAAAAATTTTAAAATAGGATAACTTAGGGCCTGTTTGTTTTATGTTTTAAAAACTATTTTTTATTTTTTAAAAAGATAAAAATTTTAAAATTTATTTGGATAAATATTTTTCATTTAATTATTTTTTAATTTTTTTCATTTTTTTTTTTTTAAAAATAAAAACAAATTTAAGTTTTTTTATTTTTAAAATACATTACATTTAATTATTAAAAATTAAATTATATTGATCAATTTCACCACCATTAATTAATTATAATCATCACTATTAATTTATTTTATAAATTCTAAAAATTTTTTTAATTGATATAATTAAATAGATTTTTATTTTATTTTAACTTTAAAACAATTTTAAAAATTATATTATAAAACAATTTTTAACAATAAAAATGAAAACAGAAATCAAACACGTTCTTATTTTTGGTATTTTTTTGTTTTAGTTTTTTTATTAATATTAATTTTTGTTTTTTAATTTTATTTTTAATTAAATTGGATCCTATCACTTCTATAAATCAAATTTTATACAATATGTTTTTTTTCTCAACAAATTTATGAGTAATTTGGCACGATTTTATAAGTTAGAAATGTAAAAATCTTAAGTTCAAATAGTCAACTCAAACATTTAATTAAATTTTATCTAATTCAAATTTATGAGTGAGAGTTAATATGATTTTATAAATTAAAAATATAAAAGTTAATAAATTTAAAGGGTTAACTCAAAATTTTGATAGCAATGATTTGTGTGCTTACAGCATCTCATGAATTAAACTTGTATGATGTACAAATGAATGTTTAATATATATATATATATGTATCCATAAAAAGTGTGTTTTATATACTTAAAGAATCACATTAAAAACATGGATTTTTTACGCCTTACTTAACCTTGACTTTTACTATTAAAATTTTAATCTTATTTTTAAATTTAAATTTCATATACATTTTTTATGTCAAAAAAATCATATACTTTAATTCGATTGAAAATTATAAACTCGGTGTTCAAGTTTAAGTGCATAAACTTTACTTTTATATTTCAACTGATCTCGATGATTTTACATAAAAAATAAAAGATTAAACTTTGATTAACTTTTTAGTAAAATTTTGCAAATCTTATCATGAAAAATAAATTTACGAAATGCCAGTCTGCGGATGGATTCTTTGATATGAGGAAGTACGTACGGATAGAATTTCATCAACTTTTAACCAATTTGTATTGATTTTACCGGCGAAGGCTGAGGGACCTGCTCTTCTCTTTCAAAAGCAGTATAATTCGGTAAGTCACGCTTTAAATGCCCACTTCGTTGATAGCAGTTTCCTCCCCTTTTTCCCCACACACACTTGTCTTGGGCGATAACTTTCGTCCAGTCACTTTAATTAATTCTTTCGTGAACAAAAATCTGACTTCGAACCTAATCTGGGTATCTGATTCGTGCCATTTCTAAGCGTCTCACATGGATTTTCTGGCAAATCCATGTCCTTTGCCTCTCTCTCTGCTGTTTTCGTTCCGGAATTTCGTCGAAAGGGTGAAACAGATTAGCAGTCTCGCGTTTTCTGCCATCGTGGGGAACATCTTCTCTGCGATCTTGACCTTCTGCTTTGCCTTAGGTTCGAATACGATTCATCGCTTTCTTTTGATAGCATTCCTTTGTGCTTTCCTCGGACATTTCGCCAAATTCTCAGTCTGCTTCTACCTTTTCCGTTCGTTTAACCCTAGAAATGGTTTTGGGGTTTTGCGTTTCTTTACAGGATTGAATGATTCAGGTGTTTTCGCACAAGAAAGAAATCTACTTTAAGTGAAAAGTGAAACCTCGGTGTGCCGTTTATTTATGGCATAGATTGGCATTTGTTCACATTTGTTTTGTTGTACTTTCTCCCTGTTCTAATCTATCCAAAATTATGATTCTTCCAAGCCCAATAATCTAATGCCCCTGTTTCTGCTACATATGCATCTGTTCAAAATCATCAAAAGGCCAATAAGAAGTTAAATCTTAAAGCTCTGGAGATGACTTCTGTATATCTGACCCATAGCTGATTAGTATATGTTACACTGGAACTTCAAAGAAGTACTTAAGTGTGTCCATATTGGATACATCGTACTATATGCGTATTGTGCTTTGCAAATGCATGCAACATATTCTAATAGATGTACCATAAACTTTCTTTTCCCCCTGAAAACAAACCGGTTCAATGGCTTGTGGAGAGGGTTAATGATATGAGCAAGACTCAATTTTACGTTTGAAATGCTTGTTCAAAACTTAATTTTTTATATTTTTCATTTTTCACCTGATGATTTGTTGAATATGCTATAATTATATATGCATATTTATCTCTCATGCCCATGTTCTGAAATTTTAAATTTGCAAAATTTGCTGTATCTCGTGTCTGACTGTACGTGATACCGGTATCCTTGCAAGTTGAATAAGGTAATGATTTTTTTGTCGTCCTTGTTGACAGTGGGAACGTTGTTGGGGGCTATGACTGGAGCGTTGATAGGCCAAGAGACAGAGAGTGGCTTCATTAGAGGAGCTGCTGTAGGAGCCATATCAGGAGCTGTGTTTTCCATTGAAGTGTTTGAATCTTCTCTTGTTCTTTGGCAAACAGACGAATCTGGTATCGGGTGCCTCTTGTACTTGGTGAGTAACTCAACTTTTTAACCCTCTTGTCAAAACTAGAGGGATATCTTCTGTTGATTAGAAGCTTATGCTGATATTTGACCATCAGTTTCATTCTCATTTGCATAATTTTTGGGTTATGTATGCAGATTGACGTTATTACTAGCCTACTGAGTGGGAGACTTGTCCGTGAGAGGATAGGTCCTGCCATGCTAAGTGCTGTCCAAAGCCAGGTAATTTTGCTGTGTTTTGAAGTCCATTTTAAGCTAAGAAGCACAGAAACATGTACAGATACAAGATACTACCAACATGAACACTGATAAGTTGTATCGTTGACATGTGTATTTGACGGAACTCCTTTATTATTTATGAAAATGAGGATCTGATTAAAATTCCCGGAATGGAAAAATAGCTGATAGACCTTGGTACAAGAGCAAAATGCAAAAGAAATATCCTCCTCTAGATTTTCAGAGTTAGATTCTGCCTACCTCTTTCTTCCTCCCCTTCCGCTTAATTGTCTCTTCCATGCCTTAATGCGCCATCTGCCAGGGTAGTTAGACTTGTGATTAATCCCCGTTTTGGCATAAATGCACTAGTGTGGTAAAATATAGCTGTCAGGATGTGAGCTCTCCAAAGCGACCATTTGATTGAGACCAAGATAATGTGAAATGAAATTCTTAATTAGTTTGGTTCTTTCACCTCGCTGACTTTTCTGGGGTTATTCTCCATCTTGCTGGAGTGCCTGTCAGATTTGAAGTGTGATATGCCTTATCTGATGAGTATTTGTATGTTAGACACTGTTTGTGAAGCAAGTTTCCTTCATCTTAATTTTCTAGTGTTAAGACCGAAAACTTATCTGGTAATTCTTCTGATATACACATTTCCCCATCCTTGTCAGATGGGCGCTGTTGAAGCAAGCTTTGATGAGATTCAAAACCTCTTTGACACTGGAGGAGCCAAAGGTTTATCAGGAGATTTAGTTGAAAAAATTCCAATAATAACAATCACAAGTGACGACAATATGGATGCTTGTGGTGAACGAGTTTCCTGTTCAGTTTGCCTCCAGGTTTGCCTATACTGCTAGAACACACGCCCACACAAGTGTATATATAAAGATGAATTGGTAGTGTTCATTACTATGTATTACTAATCCATGAGATCAAATCAACTAACTGTGTTTCTGAATATAAATTTCATATTTTCATTTTTACTTTATTTTTATCCTTGACTTCCGTGAGGTTTGATTCAGCTTATCCATTTTGAAAATCATATTGTAAATATGCAGGACTTTCAGCTCGGAGAGACAGTTAGAATATTGCCTCATTGTCATCACCTGTTTCACCTACCTTGTATAGACAAGTGGCTCTTCAGGCATGGTTCTTGCCCATTATGCAGAAGAGATCTGTAATCTGTATATGCAGGTTCATGACTAGAATGATTGTATTTAATTAGTGTGAAAAAATTTTGTACACACAAAAGGTGTCACTTCGGACTCTATATATATATATATATATTCAAACATACAGAGTAATAAAATTTTAATTTAGATATTGATATGGTAGTTCTGGTAGCACAAAACAATCATGCCAGTGGGGAATGGTGATATGTGCCAAAATAGGGTGATTTCTTTTACTGACGCAGTATTTGAAATTTGGTACTGTTGGGTTAAATTTGAACATCGTGAAGTTTAAAACTTTAAATAGGCTAGTTCCCCTAATAGCATAGTGTTTGGGCGTTGGCTTCTTTCCTGGTACCTAGGAGCTGGGAGAACACTAGTGTGCAAGGAGAAAGGATCCAAATATCAATAAAGATTAAAGGCTTGAAATTTTTTATGAGGGATGTCTGATATTTTAAATTTTTTATGAGATTAACGTTGTCTCACAACTCTTTTTTTTTTTAAAAAAAAAACAATTTTGCTCTTTTATTAGTATTGATTGTTAGTTATAAAGATTTACAGCTGCAGCTTGCATGACGCTTCTCATCGCTTCTTTCCCCATCTACACGCTTCTCCAGTTCTCGTTCTTATCCCTTCTCTCTCCCTCAGTCCCTCTCCCTCCACCTCTCTCTATCTGCTTCCTCTTCACCCAGCAACAACCCACGGTGGAAATAATACGTCTTCACCTCTCTCTCGGATTCGAAGCTTCAGATTTGGCATGGAGGAAGGAATGAAGTGCCGTGCCCTGTTCTTAGTTTCGAAGAGAAGGTGAAGCGGTGAAGGTCCGAGGAGAAAGGAGGTGCCGATTTGATTGGAGGTAAGGAGGAGGTGCGGAGTAATGAGTGAAAGCCCTTGGACAGCCAAGCAAGAGAAGTCGCCATTTGCTGGAATCTCTAAAGGCAAACCCAGGAAAGATGACGAGCACTTCGGGTACGCTCCTCCACCGACTCTCGATTGGAAGGGACGATTTGGATGTCGACAGTGAGAAAAGAGCAAGAGAAGTCATGGTTCGTAGCTCGCTGCTTGTTCCCCCATTCCTGAAACCGCGGTTTGGGGTCGAGAGATAGAAGAAGAAGAAGAAGAGAGAGAGAGAGAGAGAGAGAGATTTGAAGAGCCAACAGGCAAAGTCGTTTTCTTTCAGTCCCTTCCTTTCCCTTTGTTTGGAGCTCTGCGTGTCCGACACCTGCGGGACTCACCTATTTTTGGAAAGATTTTGCAATAACCTTAGAGTTTAGAATTAGAACCTTATTTACTAGCGATGCCAATGTAAGTACTCAAGCCTTTAGGATTTTTGGATAATTTGATCGTAATTCACTTTGTTTCACAATTTTTGGATCTAGGATTTTGTTGCACAATTTTTATCCTTGAAGTCTGTGCATGAACTTGAAGATGGATTAATTATTATTAAAATTTAATTGAATATTTGTTGATCTTGATTAATTTTTTACCAACAAATATATATTCATGTTTTAATAATAATTCATTTTAAATTAACAATAGTACATTTAGATTTATTTATCAATAAGTATTCATTCGAATTTTGATAATAGTTGATTTTAATTACATGCAGTCTTTGCTTGTTATTTTCCCTAAAAATATTTAGGATTTGAATAATTTGATCCCTAAAAATAATTTAGGATTTGAATAATTTGGTCATAATTCAGAAAGATAAGTGGATGTCTAGAAACTGATTGCTTGTCTGAAAAACAGATAGGGATTTTTGAAATTTAAGATTGATGCAGCAGGCTTTTGGGTGCTGTAAACCTGGGACTTTGTTATGCAACTTGATTGATGCTGTTGGCTTGTGGGTACTTGAGTTACAACCACTGTCAGTTGTATACAAAGACTCAAATTCCTTCTCTAGTTGCACTCTTTAAGTCCCGAAATCCTAGTCCATTTTACTGACCTTGGTAAACCAACTAAACCTAAAAATTAAAATTTGGAATGTTATACTCGCGGTCAACCCCTCCATTTGCCTCTCATTCAGAGAGCCTCCATCATCGTTGTTGTGCCTTCTCCTTTTTCCACCCAACACGAGTTTGATTCGAGAATATTGTAAGGGCAACTGGACCGTTCAAGAAACCTTGATCCTCATCACTGCCAAGAAGCTCGAATATAGCAGAGGCAACCTTTATACATTCAAGAATACTGCTGAGGGCAATTGTATGAGGGCTTTTGTTTCTTCTCCTCCATCGCTACCATGTTCATTGTTCGGTTGAAAGCACAGCTTTTCCCTCCTCATTATGATAGTCAAAGATACCCCCTATCCTCTTCCCCTTTCTTCCCTTGTTTTGCGAATCGCCTTGCCTCCTTCTATTTAATTTCTCCACCCATGAATTCAGCTCCACCCACTCTTTTCCCATCATCTTCCTCATGGACGCCCCTTCCTCCTCCAAGCCTCAGCCCTCTCTCGAAAGGAAGCCTTCCATTGATTCTGAACCCAAGACCTTGCTCGACAATGAAATCATCTCTCACCCTCACGGTTGAAGAAGATGGAGTCAAAACCACACGCTGAACTGACTGGTTCTTTTGACATGAACATAGCTCATTCAGAGTGCAGTGTGTCCTTCTTCACCATAGTCTTCCGATTCCCCTTGTGTCTTTTTACTTGTTCAATCGTGCGAGTCTTCCACATGGGTACGGGGTTGTTGAACCTCCTTTCTTGGCAACTGAAGTATCTCACTTGAATGAATATATTCGTTGCGCCAAAGAAGAGGAAGAAGAAGAACAATTGAGACATAGGGAGAGAAGATTTCTGGACAACAATTTAAAAAAAAGAATTGGTCAAAGTTAACAGTCAAATATTAGTCTAAGTTAAGGGAGAAGCAAAATTGCACACTTGTTGAAAGTTACTGGATGACATTGCTTTTTTAAAAACTGGTTAAAATACTAGGCACTCTTTGCAAAAAGTTTCAAGTAATTTTTGCTATTTAACCCTGAAATAAGTATAAAAATTTAAAATTATGGAAGTTATATAAAGAGTTTCTGTAAAAGGATAAATCTATATAAATTAAGTTGATCATGCTATAATAAATATTTTAAATTTTGACCCAGAACACAGAAAAAGCATTTTGATTGGTTGAAAGTCAAATTGTCCCTTGCTATATTTGATTTTCTCGATCTTGAACTGGAATTTTATTCAGTTGATTGTAGAAATCATTTAAAAACTTCAGTAACTTTGTTTTTTATACATCTGTTATGTTTTGATATCAAATTATTATTCCTTCTCCGAGTAAAATCATTTACCCGATATCGTCTAAATGGTGATTATGGGACATTGAAGTATTGAACCCTGATAACATGGGACACCTGACTAGAAATTAGGTAAGCTATTGTATGTTATAGGACTTAGCTTGGATGATTATATGTTATTTAGAATATGTAATATAACTTTTTAAATCTTAGTCGGGGATAGATTTTCTATCCCAGCGATTATTTTAAGGATGCCCTGAATACCTACTTCTTCGTTCTAATTCGGAGGCATGCATTTTTTATCTATTAAATTTGGTGGTGCAAGCGTGATTGCGTGAACATGGTGGATAACGATGTAAAGATTGTCATACCATGTGATCTCTATGATTTATTATCATTCTCCTCAATTCATGAATCTAAAGTATTAAGATAAAAAATATTCATATGTACTAAGTACATAAAAAAAATTGCCTTTGAAAGTTTTTTATACGAATTCTTTTCCTTTGCCTTTTCTTTTTCCTGTTAGAAACGAATGAGGAATTCAAATATGGAAAATGATTAAAAAAAAAACCCCTGAACCATATAAATGACAATTAAGTATAATGAAATGTGAATTATTATTTAGTTCCTAGAAACTTGTTTGACATTTTAAATTTTTTCAAAATGACATATTTGTCCCTACTGACTATTATAAAAAAAATGACTATTTTCATTGCATTATAAACTAAAAATATAATATAAAACGACTACTTTCTATATGCAAATTTGTAATTTACAAATGGATTAAAACATGCTCTCTTTGTTTAAAAATGTAAGATATTTTTAACCAAATCTCACCCCAATAAGATAATTACTTACTTTCAAATTAATCCTGTCTTTTCATATTCACCTTATTAAACACCCTACAATAAATATAATGTCATTATCAATAGGAATACTTTTAAAAAAAAGAGAATAATTACATTCGAAAGACTAAAAAAATTTTATATTTTTTAACATCCAATTCTTCAAAAAATGCCTTATATTTTTTAACGAGGGAGTAACTACTTACTTTTCAAAATGACTACTTCAATTGCATTTTATTGATAAGCAAATATGCACGAAAAAAATAGTCATTCTTTATGATGTTTTAGTTAATAACACAATCAAAATAGTCATTTTCTATGATAATTACTAAGGATAAATATGTTATTCCGTTAAAAAAAAAAAGTCAACAATTCTTTAAAAACTAAATAATAACTATTATATTTTGTGCTATTTAATTGTGATTTGTCTATTTTTGGAAAATGTTTTATTATCATTTTCTAAAAAAAAATTTCATCCGCTGGGTCTTGTTAGGTTTATGTGGCCATCAGTCAGTCTTACACGTTGAAAAGATGAAGAAATTTATGATATTTTGGCGGCCACATTACGTAAAGCTGAAAAAGCGAAATAAATTAAATGTAAATCTTTAAAAATAAAAATAAATATTTTGAAGAAATTCTAATAGTTCTGATTGATAAATCAATAAATATGTCTTTGGTAAAAAAAATCAATAAACATATTAAAACCTAGGGAAAATGACAATTACAAACTCTATAAAGATATTAATGATAATTATAGCTCTTAAATATTTGGAATCTCCATAAAAGGATCAAGGTATTCACTCACAGTTAAAATTAAAAATAATGTAAAAGTCTGAAATGCCCCTTATAAATGAATCAAAATAGCTGGTAAATGGGCTAACTCTTTGTTTCTTGTTGTTTTCTTTGATAAACCGTGTGCTCCATTCATCGATCCCATCAAATGTTGTTTTGTTAGGTAGTTATCGTCGCATCCGCTTGCACTGCTCTTTCCACTTGAGTAAATCTCTCGACTTTCAATTCTTTCCCTTTTTCTGTATTTTTCTTTGTTATATTAAAAAACCTAAAGGTTGGTTCATTTATAC